TCTTTTGATTTGGTAAGGATAATCATAAAACAGTAATAAAATTCGGATTTTATTAGTCAAAAACGATTTAGCTAATTATCCTTAAGCAAAACAGCAAGAAATCCCGAAAATCCCTCTGACAGACGCTCCGACTCGCCGAGTCCCCTTATGGACTCGTCGAGTTCATCCTACTCGTCGAGCTCATCCTACTCGTCGAGCCCACTATGGGACTCGCCGATTCTGTCAGTCATGGGGCAAAAAATTCGATTTTTAAAGATTGAATGAAGACACAAAGCATCAATACAATAGAAACCAACCTGGCTCTGATACCACTGATGGGTTTGAGCCAAAAGAACATCCTGTGCTCATGCAAACCCTAATGCTTAGATCTAGGTTTCTCTAATTGTACATGCATTCATCCAAGACTTTCAAACCCTAGATCTAATGAGAGTAATTCGAAATTATAAGAAACAAATCAGATCTAGATCATTACCTCTTGTAGTTTGCTGGAATCTTCTTGTCTTTGAAGCTTAGAGTCACAAGTGTCACTCCTCTAACGGCTTACAAACACCAATAGCAAAAGAATGATCTTGGAGAGAGGTTGGAGGGAGGAAGGGAGAGAGAGAGAGAGAGAGAGAGAGAGAGAGAGATTTATTTTCTATTTTTCTTCTAATCAGAAAATTATTTAAATAAATAAATAACTGAAAAAATAAAAAAGTAAAGGCAAAATCTATATTATAAAAAAGTTCAAAACAAATTGGACCAAACTCGCAACAAAATAAAAAGTTTGGACCTCTGTTGCTATTTCAAACTTTTTTAGACCAAAATGACAATAGCTAACCACAGGGACTATTCTCACAGTTTATGTCATAAAATCATAATAAATTTTAGAGACTATATTAAGCAACTATATATAATGCTAGTCGTGCGTCAATAACTTTTGTCCCAAGGCCATGAACTTATTATTCTCTGATCTCAACTAGTTTAAAAAGTATCGTCACCTCATGGTTTAATGACACTCAATCAAAAACTTTTTAGATTTCGAACGTATTTAGATGAGCTGTCAGTTTATAAAGGAATTGGCTAGCTTGTAATTTATCTGCCAAAGAATTTACACAACTGGAATCCAAAACAAAACAAAAAACCTCAAATTTGAACCGATAAAAAACGAAAACAAAACCTAGGAACTTTTTTAGAACTAAACCGAACTGGAAAAAAAAAATAATAAAAAAAATACACCGGACTAAAACCATTTTTCTGCACCTACCTCTAAAAAGACTTAATTCTTAATTAGACGTCGAACGAAGATGAAGGCCCAAAAGAAGTTATCGGGCTGGATGTCACAGACAGCTCATAGCCTCACAACCCGTCAAAAGGGTTTTATTGGGTCGGATATTTGCAAGGTAGTTGATAAGTTAAAAATCTGTTTCCAAGGGGAGCTCCGAAAAACCACAAGGAAGCATCACCGGCCACCGGAGATCGGGTTTGTTATGTTCTCTTTCATTGATTATTTTGTTTGTTTGAGTGATCTCTACAAAATTCGGTTATTTTGTTGTTCTAATTCGATTATTATTTTGTGATCTATTAGATTTAACTCACGCGTGTCGAATTTGATTGGCGATATCGATCTAGCGATGGGGTTTATCCTTACAACCCTAATTTTCATTGCGGTTGGAATCATTGCGTGCTTCTGCACACGAGTTTGCTGTAATAAAGGCCCTTCGGCGAATTTGTATGCTTCGATTTTACTTCACTTGGTTCCAGATTTGGTCAATGATTTATTGTTCTTGTATCTTGATATATCATAGTGTACACAATCGCACACATATCTATCTATTTTCTTATGATTACTTCTAATCATGATTGCTGCATTGATTGAAATCTGATTAATCTGTGATTGATGTTTGCTCATTGAAATCATAGACGTGTTTTTCAGTTTGAAAAGGTTGATTGAGTTATTAGGGATCAGCAGAAACCCTTGCTTTTAGGAACTAATCAGTCACTGGTGCCAGAGTATTATGTAACTAGGTTGATAACATTTCCATTTTAAGAAGCTGTTTGTTGAGAACTAAATAAGAACCAACTACTATGTTAAAAGTTCCATGTATTGTTTAAACTTGCATAAGATGATGAGTACATGATATGAATCTGTCTGAATTGGTTGTTATCTGATTAGAAATTGGGTTGAAAAGAAAAATGTTTGTATATATTTATGATCCATGGTCAGATTTTTTACTGCAGTATGTGATTCTTTGCAATACTGATGCATCATGTATACCGAGTCTCTTGTTATAAAATTTGTAGCTTAGTTTGCAATCATATGATCAGTTTCATGATTAAATGACCACCAAGCATTATGCTTTTTTATCTGGGTATGATGGTGTTGGTTTTCTGCATAAATACAATGATTTCCAAGTTTTTCTTATGATAACATTGACATTTACCATTCGTTACAAGTCTGGCTACATTATTAATGAATTGATAAAAACATTAACATGTAGTTATTATGTTGCAGGTTCCACCTTACATTGGTGATTACTGCTACTATATGCTGTTGGATGATGTAAGTTTGGCTCTTGATTCTTATTCATCTCTTTACTATTTTGTGAATCTTTCTACTTAAGTTTTATGGGTTTTGGCAGGTGGGCAATTGTTTATCTTGCACAGATGAATCCACTCATTGTCCCAATTTTGAGTGAAGGAGAGTGAACCATCCTTCAAGGCAATTTGCAGCAACAGCCTCTTTGGTCTTTTTAGTATTTGTGAATTTGAGGATGAAAGGGGTGAAATTGGTGAAGAGTGTTTCTCTAAATTTATTTTGGTTGCAATTATTATTATGTTAAGATTGGTATGAGTTGCAAACATTTATGCATTTTTTTTTTTGGTTCTTGAGGATTAAATTTGATGTGTTACTTACCTTAGGTTTCTTGTTCAATTTTGAACTCGTGGAATAAATTAATTTGATTTTATACTATCTATCAGTAGGTGTGTACATTTTTTGTTTTTTTTTATGGGATCATCTTACTGATGTGGTTTAAGAATTCAAAGCAAATTAGTAGTATACAATAGTGGAACCAGAAAATGTGTTAGAAAATTTATTTTGGAGGGTGAAAATTCCACTAAGTATATGATTTTATACTAAATTACCATATAGTAACCAATAAAGTTAATAAACGTTTAACTTATGGTTAAGTCATTTGTCCAAAACACGCTTTCAACATGCTTAAACTAAATAACAAACAAAGTTAATATCCAGTTCATCATGATTCACTTTTGAAGGAAAACATGTATATATAATATATCTAAACATGGTATTTTATTGTTGACAAACGAAAAGGTTTAGTAATCCATGAAAATTGGAAAATACCCATTTCTGTATAAACCATAGCATATGAACAAACAGATTGTGTAGATTACCAAATTATTTGACTATTTATTAAAATGATTTTAATTATCATTCACTGTAAGACATAACAGAATAAACTTTTGGCCTCCAACTAAAAAAAAAAAGAAACAGGAAATCAGGTTTTTTAAGATAATTGACATGTGTAAATCAGTTATATTCAAGTACAAGTAGAACTGTCATGTTTCCCAGGTTGAATTTTTGGTTTAACATGTTGCTTATAAATGTAAAATAATATTGGAAAAGAAAATCCATGACATGATAATACCCGTCTAAACAGAGCAAGAACGTGCTTGAATTTGTTTAACCGAACCAAACGTTATTATACAAAGAAAGGTCAAAAGTAGAAATACAACTGATCACAAGGTCAAGAACCTTTGAATAAACATGAAATCTAAATATATATATATATATATATATATATATATATA